CCCAAGGAAGGACAGGCACTTCGAACACCAAAGACACCAGCTGTTCTCAAGGGAGTGACCACGAGTGTTACCCAACAGCATCACCATTGCCTGCTGTTAGTCCCCATAGCTCTAGTGCGCACTAGTTCACAGTCCAATGACTCTAGAATTTATCTTCCCCTTAAGTCAGACCTCAAGATCCCAGAGGTAGAGTTCAGCAAAAGGTCAGGGCAGAAGTGTGGGGAGAGAGATTTCCCTGACTGGCTGTTCCAAGAAACCACACCCTATGACTACATCAGGCATCCAGTGATCCCGCCCCCCCCCCCCACACACACACACAGGGTAATCTGAAGAATGTGCTAATACGATTCAGGTGAGGACCTCTAGGTCTTGAGGAAGTGGCACACCCCAAACGTAATCTCTGTGAAATATTTTCCATATTTGGAAAATAGAAGAGGGTTACCTAAGAACTTGACCCGAGAAGATGGTGATGAGGTAATGGCAAAGGCCTCCGGGAAGGCGACTGGAAGGAGGTGTGGAGTCCTGAGGTCAAGGGGAGTGAATCTGGAGTGGTTTCAGGTGTAGAAAGTAGATCTGTCCCCAGGGGGAAGGGCGTGTCTGGTGACCAATCAATAGTAGTCTTCGCTCTATTTTTATAATCCACGGAGTGACTCTTTGAACTCTTCCTTCGTTTTCCGGGGTAGACTAAATAACCTCTCTGCACTGGGGCCTGTGTAGGCCCTGTTGGCATTTGGATTCTGGTTTGAGTTTTTCTGTGGACTTGGAAGCATTATTGGGGTAAACACTGACTACCAGAAGATGGACAGAAGTAAAGCATGCTGGTGGGTTCAGGAAAAGAAGCCACTGCTAAGGAGCCATGTCCTGGGTTTAGATTCATCTGGTCCCTGACACAAAAAGCCGAGTCCAAGTCGTGTCTTTGGGAAGTGATCTCTGGAAACACACTCAGGAGAATAAGAGTAAGTCAATAAAGGCAGGCGAGCTGATAAAGGGGGTCCAGGATGCCCGTTACTGGGGGGGCGAAGGGGGGCAGCTAGTGTTGAGTTGTTGTAGGACTCCGGGAGACAAAAGAGTATACACTGGCCATAGTGTGGAATGTGCTTCAGAGTTATTGCAGACAAGGGGTATCCGTCCATTAACTGTCCATCTGTCACTGGCTGAGAATGGCTTCTTGGGAGATAACGTCTCAGACACTTCTGCTCTAGCCTCTGAGAACCCAGCATATTCTTGCAGCTGCGCAGTTACAAATATTTTCCATAAGCAGCTCTGAGGATGGAGATGTGGGTGGGCTACCAACAGTATCTGCCACAATTCTTCAAATTTCCTGCATGCCTGAATGTTTCGGGCACCAGATTAAATGTATATTATCTCATTTACTCCCTGGCTAATAATCTCCATTTTTTTTTTCAGACCCGGGCAGGAGAGGGGATGTAGAATGAAAAGTAATTTGTCTGTGGCCTCTTATGTGGCTAATTGGTGGAGTTGGGATTTGAACCTAAAAACTTTTGGGTGCTGTAATGGGTCCTCAAAAAGTTTATAATCAGATGAGGGACTAAAAACAGCCTTTAAGTTGTGGGGATGGAGTCTAGCTTTTCCCGGACCTGATACTTCAAGATTGCCTATTGTAGATGTGCGTCTTATTAAATAAGAAACACAGAGCCAGATTCAGAGTTAAAAGCCCAAGAGGTCAGAGCAGTAGCTGAGAGCTGATACTAAAAACCCTTTCTTACCCTTCACTGCCGCTGCCGTCCTTCCCCTCAGAAAGAGACCTACTTCCTGTGTATCTGTCTTTTTATTGACTTTCTGTTCTGCCTTCTCATTGCTTGTAAACCCAACCACATGACCTCCTCGTCGCTGCCTGTCTATACAGACCTCCAGGTCCTCTATGGTTGGTATTGAGATTAAAGGCGTGTGTCTCCATGCTGGCTGTATCCTTGAACACACAGAGATCTGCCTGTCATGTGATTAAAGGTGTGCAACACCACCACCCGGCTTCTGCTATGGCTTGCTATTAGCTCTGACCCCCAGGCAACTTTATTTATTAACATACAAATAAAATCACATTTCAGTACAAATAAAATATCACCATAGCCTATTAATGTTCGACCAGGATGCCGTGGCTTGTTTTCTGAAAGAGGCAGAGTCTAGCCTCCTTCTCATCGTCCTTCTCTCCTCAATGCATGGTCTGTGTCCTTGAGCACTCTGGTGAAGCAGCTTGGGAGAAGTGTTCAGATAATGTCTGTATTCTTTCCCAGACACCCTCCTCCCACCCTCAACTCCAAATCCATTTATCTCCCCCATAAAGTGCTTATTGACAGAAGACTTGAGTGCTCGGCCCATGCCAACTGATGACAGCCCTCTCCAAACAGAGCAGCCATGCCGCCCCTCGGCTCCCCAGCCTGATCCAGAGCTGCCCCGTGTCTGCCTCCATCTCCAAGATTAGCTCAGCCCTCCCCCCCCCCCCCCCGCACCCTCTCATCATCAAATGCTTTTTTGGGTCACTGATTTTTCAGAGAGAAAATGCTTGAGGTGGAGGCACGAAATAGCACTGCTTAGACTCAAGACGGGGTTTGTAAGACCCTTCAGCCAGTAAGTAATTTTATCAGGGCTTGAAGAGAGCCACAATCTCCATTTACCCCCGCCCACGCCTACAAATGCTCTTTACTATACGCAGTCTGCTTTTACATCTCTAGTACCAACCCTCCTTTTGTTTAGGCTTCCAGGAGCTTGCACTTCCAGGTATGTGACCAGCAAAGTCCATCAAAAATGAAACTGAAGGGAAAGGCAGAGCCGAGCATGTGATTCGGAGCCCCAGGTGATTTTTATGCAGTGGGCAACCTTGTTTCTCCTGGGTCATGTCTGCTCCAGCTAAGCCCTACCTCAGTGTTCTGGTCTGGTAAAGGTTTATCATTTGGACTGGATGGGGCATTGTATCCCTTCTACAGCAGCAACATGTTCCCTGAAATCCTGCCATCAAGCGAATGCTCATTCACTTTAGCACAGAGCAAGGCTTGTTCAAAGGAATATGTGTAGGAATGTACATTAGTATAGGCGCCGTAGGAGAAAATATTTAGTATACTTGAAAACATAAAAACCCATGATCCCACGATCCCATGTACAGGTATGTTTCTAAGGGAAATAAAACTAGTGTGTACACAGACACATTTGCACTCTCATGCTCAGTGCTTAATGCAGAATCATTCACATCTCTGTTATATAGTGTTAGTGTGTAAGTGTCGGTCAACCGATAGATGAATGAAGATGATATATCTCGGAAAAGTACTATCGTTCCGACAAAGAATCCTGATATTGTGATGACCTGGGCGAATAAGCTCAGCAAAGAAGTGAGCACAGTAGGACCTCATCTGTCTGTGAGATTTTCAAAAGATCTCATAGAAGGAGAGTACAAGGTGAGGACCTGGGAGCTGGACGAAAAGGTGTGGTGGAGTTCTGGGGCTGAGGAGAGACAGAGACATCCTTTTGGAAAGGATGAAGACATTCAAGGATTCCACAGTGCAAGACGGTGTGCAAAATCAGTAGCAACGTAGTGACCACGCTCTTGAAATTTTCTAAGACAACAGCGTTCAAGTATTTTATTAGGTACCAAAGGAGGCCTGTAGGCTAGTGCATGCTCTAACATTAATTTATCAAACATGGCTTCTTCACAGAGAGCAAGCCTGGCAACCTGGTACTAGAGTTTCGATATGGAAAATATGCCTCTGAAAAATGATGCACGTAGCTAGATTTCCCTTCAACACATCCCAGGCACCACTAAGCCCTGAACAAGAGGCTTGTCTTTTTGATGACGTCATTATTCGGCTCATTATTTTAGCCTTCAAATACGTAAATGAACGAATGGCTTCTATTTACATTTCACCAGACAAAGCATTGTCCTGATTCTAGTGCATTCTCTTATCCCAACACATTTTTGTTCATGCTAATGCATGGACACCTTACCTTGCTGCTCACACTATGGGAACTCCTGAATGTCTTATTATTATATAGACAGGAGGGCCGAGAGGATGGCTGTCAGAACATTTCCTTGGTTTGGGGCATGATTGACTGCGCCTCTCTCTAACTTACCCAGAAGGCATATAGATGACCTAGGCTTACCTGCTAGACCCTTTATTTTTCTCCCTTCTCAAGAGACACGTTCTCTTCAGAAGACCGAATTTCCTCACTTTCCCTGAAGGGACTCCTAGGCTGTCGCCACTCTCAAACACTGCTCAGTCACAGGGGGCTGTTATTTTGTTCCCACACTTGGCCTCCGAGGCCTGTTTTCCCCTCAATGAATACATGTTCGTGTGATGCTAAATATAAGCGTATCTCTCTGCCTTTGGATTTCCTGGAGGGAATGCAAGTATACACACAGCCTCTCAGAGAGACACACGTGTTTAGGTATGATCATCACATGCCCATTGGCTGTACGCACACAGCCCAACAGATATGCCACACATGTTAAAGTGTAAAGTAAGACTACAGTTTCTGATTCCATGCCTTGTTTTCCCATCTACCCTTGTCTCCAGGACAGATGCTTCGCCACCCTCCTCTCTTGCTCTCATCCACTTCTCTCTGCTTCCTCCCTCTTCCAGTAACTTCTTTACACCAGGGTTTATGTGGATCTTCTCCCGGAATGGTTCTGTGACACTGAGCACAGAAACCCAGCCTCCAGGCGAAGCTCTGCTGTGCCTTTTAGTTACTAAGGACATAAATCCTCCCTTCAGTCCTCTCCCAGGGATTATTTAAATTGGTCAGATTGGGAATCCATCTATTTCTTTAAAGCCCAGCCCATGAATCGCTGTTAACACAAAGCCAGAGTTTAAGGCATTAAGCATGTACCTGCAAGTACTTCTCAGCGCTTCATTTCCTTCCCCCGGGGAGTGCTTTCCAGTAGGCGGGGTAATGGGAATGGAGCCCAGAGCCAGTAAGCTGATTTATCTGGGAAAGCGTTCCTCTCCATCTTTGCCACTTTAATAACACTCAGCTGGGGGAGGGATTTGCTGTCCTTCAGGAGCTGGCCCGTTAAAACAATCCAGGAGTGTGTCACCCGCAGCTCAGGCCCTGCACCTCGTCTTCAAACTGATGTCACCTCATAAATCCACAGGCACAGCCTGGACCCATCAGCAGGCTGCTTTTTCTGGAGATTCATTATTTGTTCAGACAGGGGTCAGGTGGAGGGTTTTTTTTTTTTTTTTTTTAAAGATTCCTTTAGTATTGGCCCCCTCCCCCTCTTCAGCTGAAAATGGAATCTGCTGTGACTGAGGCGTGTGGCTGGGCCGAAGAAAGGAGTGCTGTACGAGAAAGAAAGAAAAAAAAAAGCCAGCTATCTGAGTCAGAAAGGAGGTGGGTGTCGCTTGACCCAGTGTGCCCAAAGAAGAAAGGAGGGACTGTTGTTGGGGAAAAGTCGGGCTCTTGCTTTGGTCTTGGGCCTTGTTGCCTTAAAATTGGATATTTCGTCTGTCCCAGGGGCTGTCTGCAGTCATCCGCAAATATGATAGATGGAGAAAGTCACAGGTTAGGGGAAGCTAGATGACAGGGACAGCCAGGAAATGTCTGCAGTCCAAGGGGGTCAGGGAGGCTGTTGGAGGCCCGCCTCACTGTCCACACAGATTAGATCACAGGTTTCTCTCCGGGAAGTGCTGAGGTTTATGTAGCAGCCACCTAGATGTCTGTCCCTCTGGGGGAATACCTTAAAGACACAGACAAGAGTCCCACTAACATAACGGGGAGAGATGTGGTGGGGCTGGGTAGTTGTCAAACATACGTGTTTCCAAAAGGACGCGTACAGAGTTGGAGACCTGTAAATGGAGTTTTCTTGCTTGATTAAATGGAGCTGGTCAGAAAAGTCACCGAAATCTCCTTCTCATATGTTAGGAGGAATGTAAGCCATGGATCGTGGGTGTCTAAAAATCGCTTCTCACAGAGAAGGTGAAAAGGGCCACTGGTTCTTCTCACCAGCCACTGACCACTGAGTTCTGTGGTTGCAGAAGTCCCACGGCCCTGATTTCAGGCGCAACAGGAAGACACCGACCATGGAGCTGGAAGGGCATGTGAATACTGGGCTCTTCTGAGCTGGTGTGAGCCGGCTCCAGCCTGTTCCAGTTGAAATGAACACTCTGAAAAGGCAACTTAGTTCTTGTGCCCTAGGATGCTGGCGGCATAGTTAAGCAGAGCAGGAGCCCTCCGCCAAGGGCGATTCTTTCTTACCATCTGTGCCCCTTTATACAGATGTACACAAAACGTGAAATATCTAACTGTGAAATAAAAAATTCCTGAGATTTGGTATTCTCAGTTTACTCCTGGAGATCTCATCTATTTTCCCTTCCCAGGACGGTCCATGTGTCCCTCTTTGGGTCGTCCCTGTTAGTTAGCTTCTCTGGAGTTGTGGGTTGTTGCCTGATTATCCTTTGCTTAGGATGAGGGGTGGGCAATGGAGGGTAGGGGGTAGGGGATGAGAGCGTAAGGGAATGGGATGGTTGAACTGAAACAGCGAGGGAGGGGGAATGCAATGAAGAGGTACCATGGCCGGGCGGTGGTGGTGCACGCCTTTAATCCCAGCACTCGGGAGGCAGAGCCAGGCGGATCTTTGTGAGTTTGAGGCCAGCCTGGTCTACAGAGCGAGATCCAGGAAAGGCGCAAAGCTACACAGAAAAACCCTGTCTCAAAAAAACCAAAAAAAAAAAAAAGAAAGAAAGAAAGAAAAAGAAAGAGATACCATGATAGAGAGAGACATCATGGGGATAGAGAGAAACCCAGTGATAGGGAATTGGCCAGGAATCCCCAAGGATGACCCCAGCCTGGGCTACTAGCAGTAGTGGAGAGGGTGCCTGAACTGAATTGGCTTGCCCCAGAGATCAGACCAGTGAATACCCCAACTGTCATCACAGAACTTTTCTCCAGTGACTGATGGAAGCAGATGCAAAGATCCACAGCCAAACACCAAACAGAACTCCAGGAGTCCAGTCAGAGAGAGAGAGAGAGAAGAGGGATTCTATGAGCAAGTGCATCAGGATCATGATGGGGAAACATGCAGGGACCACCAAACCAAACTAGAGGGAACTCATGAAAGTTGGATTGATGGCTGTGGAGCCTACATGGGACTGGACTAGGCCCTCTGCATGGGGAGACAGTTGTGTGGCTTGATCTGCTTGGGAGGCCCCCTGGCTGTAGGATCAGAATCCATCTCTGGTGCATGAGAGGGCTTTGTGGAGCCCACTACCTATGATGGGACACCTAGTGCAGCCTTGAGGCAGGGGGAAGGCCTTGGACTTGCCTCTATTAAATGTGCCTCCACATGGATTTGCATTCTTGTGGGAGGGAGTAGGGAATGGGTTAGAAGGGGAGACTGGAGGGTGGGGGGAGAAGGGAAGAAGGGGATCTTTGATTGGTGTGTAAAATGAATGAAAAAAATTTTCTTGAGAAAAAAAGATTTAGTATTCTAAATCTCTAATTTTTTTTTTTTTCTCAAAAACTTCTCATCTTTGGTAAGGTCCAAGACGACACTGAATTATCACATTATAACTAGTGAGTGGTTCCCTTTGTGAAACACTGAAAAGAGAGTAATCCCGGTCTCCTTCCAGGTACAGGGCTTGATTGACAATCCAAAAGGGATCCTGGAGAGTTCTGGAATCTAGCTCTTTTCATAGCCCTTGATTCCCCTGCATGCCACAAGTAAGCACAGATTGCTGATGGTGGTTTGAGATGAATCCTACAATAAGTGCTGGTCCTTCAGGCTGGGGCCACCACAGACCTTATCTTCTAGGGCGGGGCAGGGAACAGGGAGGCCACACGAAGGAGGGAGAGTGATGAGGGTGGAGTCCCTGAAAGCCAATTGCAGCATCCTCCAGGCTTGGCAGCCAGCCTGGAAGCCTGAGGCCTTCTGGGAAAAAGCCAAGACAGGACCAAAGGTAGGCGTGGAGAGGTGGAGAAGCAGGCCGGCTTTCACTGGCTGGGTGACTGCATGTGCCCAAATGATGGCTTTTCCTGGAGTGACCTTCTGCATACAGAGAACAGACAAATGAAGTCAGGTGCACCGGGCGCATTCGCAGATGCCTTTCAACCTCACAACCACCCATAAGGCAGACTTTGGGTAAAATTTCTGAGTGAAACTGAGGTCCGGAGCAGCAAAGGCGTCACACAACTGTTATTTGTCACCAAAGGTGAGCATTGATTCCACCCGGCTCTGTAGCCAAGACTCTGATTTTTGACCTTGTGCATCCTTTTAGCACCTCTAAGTACAATTCTTTGGGTCAACCAGCCAATTCAGTTCAACATTTCTGGTTTTCCTCCACTTTATTCTTTGTCTTGTAAACCGGCCCCTGGCTTGGAGGTGTGGCCCACAAGGCTGACCTTGGTGTCAGAGGTACTGTTCGCGAGGCAGGCTATGGTTCTTGTGTAGGAACAAAGTCAGGGCGCTTCTCTGAAAGCAGTACCCAAGAAGCTTAGCCACCCTGGCACAGTCGGGAACCACGGCGGTCTTCCTGCCAGGAGATTGCTAATAATACCAATGGTTTCTTCGACGTCTGGCTCCGGATTCCAGTGGGCTGTGTTAAATCCATGGTGCGTCCCCACCAGAGAGCGGGCGCCGCTCAGCTGCTGGGCCATAAATCTAGGCAAGTCTATCTATCTGTCCATCAGTCCTGTGGCGGTGCTGCCCTCCAGGCCCTCCCTGCATAAACATGAAACTCAACACGGACTCTTCGCAAGGGCACTCAGACTTGGGCTCTGGTTCAGAATAAACAGACAACCTCAAGACTCCAACCCCCTGCCTGCCCCTGTGTGAAGGGAGCCATGGGGCCCATCTGTTGCCTGCTGTCGTGCCCTCGAATTGAGTTTCTCTTCCCGTGGCTTTTCTCTTCGAAACAGACAATAAAGTTTCTGGCCACTTTCTTTAATTTAAAAAAGGGATGTTTATTATTTTTTTTTCTTGTTTGATAGATTCAGTTTTGCTGTTTTGCAAATGGGAATATATATTCATGGACTTTTATAGAGACAAGGATGATACTTCAAAATCATATTGCACATTTCATGTGTGCTGGGCAATGTATTGAAATTATAGATGAAGATTAAACTTTGGATTCTCACAACTCCATGAATTATGAATTTCCTTCATTTACATATGGGTAGAATGAGGTTCAGAGAATTAAGTTAAAACTCACTTAGGCTTTCAAAAGGAAGCCAAGACTCCTGGGGAATCTGAGGCAGGGGAATCACTGGAACCCAGGAGTTCAGTATCAGCCTAAGCAACAGTGAAACCCTGCCTCAACAAATTTTCAAAGCTTAAAAATTATAAGTCTGGTTCTAAAATGGTACACTCAACAGTGTTATTGCTCTGGATCTCAAAGTGTGTTTGTGTGTGAAAAATGCTGTCAAACCATATAGGGCCAGGCAGTTTGGACCAAACGTGATCTGATACCAATTTATAAGGTTCAACCTAGAAAATCCAATCAGATTTCTCGAGTGTGGCAGCCAGGCTGGAGTATTCTTATGCTTTAGGGCCTTCTGTGGAGCAAGTTACCAGTTCGTACATGTTTTGTGACCCATAAGAGTATAGATTGAGTGAGTGAATTGATGGGAGAGGGATATAATTTATGTAGAAAAACGTACATACCAAGGGGAAAGAGAAGGGCCCAAGGAAGTGTGTGTGTGTGTGTGTGTGTGTGTGTGTGTGTGTGTGTGTTCAACCAGAACTTGAGTCTAGTGGATAGGGAACAAGTCCCTTCAAAAAGCTGTGCCTTATCAACTTTCTCTGTAACTTGGATGGTCATTCTTGCTTCTATTCCATAATTCTCATGGCTGCCACCGTGCAACTAAATCTTCATATTCAAGTGTGGTGACATACGGTGGCACATCTCCACTTGGATAAGACAGATGTTGAGTACTTAGAAACCACATGTGATTAGTGACAGTTGTATTGGAAGGTAGAAATTGAAGGATTCTAAACCTTGATGGGAATAGGCTCCTTAGGGGACACAAGGTAGTTCAACATCATATCAACCTCTTTTAACAACAGAATTAAGCTCTGCCATAGGAGGCGAAAGACAGGGGAGAAAATCGGCAGAATTCTCACAAATTCTCAATATCTCTGGGCTGAATCTGCACAAGAATGGGCCCACTAACAGCCACACGTGGATGAGAGGAGACTCAGGGGTCCTACCTCCTCCCAGCTGAACTGTTGCATACAGACAGACTCAGGGGAAAGAGGGGCTGTTTCCATCAGTTGAGTACCTACTGCTGACCTCACCACACTCCAACAGGTAGCCCCTACTCCAATAGAAAAAGGAGGGTCCTGGTTAGAATAAACCACTGACCCAATAAACCCCAAAGTCATCGATCTGGGAGAGGTCCTGGGAGGAAAGAACCGGGGTTAACAGGAGTGCAGAGAGGTTAGAGAGGGTGTGGGGAGAGAAGAACCAGAATATTTTATATACATGGATTCAATTCAAAAGAACCAACTTAATAAAAAATTAAAAGGGAAGTGTAGCCAGGCGGTGGTGGCGCATGCCTTTAATCCCAGCACTCGGGAGGCAGAGGCAGGCGGATCTCTGTGAGTTTGAGGCCAGCCTGGACTACCAAGTGAGTTCCAGGAAAGGCGCAAAGATACACAGAGAAACCCTGTCTCAAAAAAAAAAAAAATGAAGTGTGAATGATTACATAAATGCATGATCATAACAGAGACACGTGTACCTACCTCTACTGTGAATGTTGATCACTTTGAGGCCAGCAGGCCAGGAGGACAATGAGTCAGAGGGGATTACCATTTTCTTTGTGTGTATCTGCAAAGCCTGAATTGTCAAAACACAGATGTCTATTTTAAAACCTTTTCCAATGGCAATATGCAGTACAGGGATCATTTTTTCCCCCAGAGTCTACAATTTGATATTTATTGATAAAATAATACTTTCTATTATAGTAACCTAGATTTCATGTGTAGTTAGTGTGTTCTTATTAGATAAAGAGATCTCCCTTCCTTTCTTCCTTCCTTTCTTCTTCCTTCCTTCCTTCTTCCCTCCCTCTCTCTCTTTCTCTCCCTCCCTCCCTTCCTCCCTCCCTTCCTCCATCCCTCCCTCCATCCCTTCCTCCATCCCTCCCTCCTTCCCTCTCTTCCTTCCTTCCTCCCTCCCTTCCTTTCTTCCTGAAGGGAACTCTGGAAGAGGAGTACTGGGTTTAAGATTGCCAGAAAAACACAAGACAAATAATAAATTAGAATTTCAGATGACGATAAACAATAGTTAAACTTTAGAATGAGCATGCCCCATGTAACACATCCTTTGAATGACATGGGGATAACCTCAAC